ACACTATGGAGAGTGGCAAGCAGAGCGCTCCTGCACACTTTTTCAATACCTAGGGTGAGATTCCATCCGGGCCAACAGCCTTTCTCACGTCCAGATCCAACAGGTGCCTCTCAATCTCATCTCTATAGTAATTTCGAACCCTTCCAAAGTCGCCTGTTTACTGCCACCTCTCCTAGCGCAGTGACCTCTCCTCGTTCTATTGTGAAGACCTCCTGGAACCTCTTGTTTCCAGGAGGTATTCATATAAATACATCTCGTTTGTTTCCCATTCTAAGTTTCATCCCCTGTTTCTTCACTGTTCTTTTTTACTGATATGACTGTGTAGTAGCTTGGGTTCGGGCTTGGCTCTATTAGCTATATCATTTTTATACTTTTTCTCAGCTTCTCTTATCACACTAACATACTCGTTCCTGGTTCTCTGGTTCTCTCTACTGTCTGGTGTTCTGTTATTTCGGAAGTTCCTCCACGCCCTTTTGTTCAGTTCCTTTGCTTTCATACATTCCTAGTAAACCACGGATTCTTCCTTTGCTTCTCTGTTTACCTGTCGGGCCGGGACAAACCTGCTTACAGCCTCCTGACACTTTTGGGTGACATAGTCCATCATGTCTTGTACGGACTTAGTTGTGAGTTCTGAGTCCCAATGTATATCCCCTAGGAATTTTCTCATCTCATAATTTCACTTTCGATACGCCAGCCCTTTGTTTCCAAGTTCTATTTTGGGGGAGATAATTCTTAGCTTTACCAGGTACTCAAAGTTCAATACACTGTGATCACTCATTCCCAAAGGTGCTTCCGACTTCACTTCCCTTATATCCAACTCATTTAGGGTAAATATCAGATCAAGCATAGCTGGTTCATCCTCTCCTCTCATTCTTGTCGGTCCCTTGACGTGTTGACTTAGAAAGTTTCTTGTTGCCACGTCCAGCAGCTTAGCTCTCCATGTGTCTGGTCCACCATGTGGGTCTCTGTTCTCCCAATCTATCTTCGCATGGTTGAAGTCTCCCATAGTTAGTAGTCTGGATCCGTTCCTGCTAGCCACAGAAGCTGCTCTCTCTATTATATTGATGGTGGCCATGTTGTTTCTGTCAAATTCCCGTCTGGGTCTTCTGTCGTTCGGTGTGGGTTATATATGACCACTACTATAATTTTTTGTCCTCCAGTTGCTATGGTGCCTGATATGTAGTCACTGAAACCTTCACAGCCCTGTATCTCCTCAAAACTCCAGCCTTTTCTTATCAGCAAAGCTACACCACCTCCTCCTCTTCCTGCTCTCTCTCTCCTCACTACATAGTAGTCCTGAGGTGGTGGAGGGTTTGTGTGTGTGTGTGTGTGTTTGTGTGTGTGTGTGTGTGTGTGTGGTGTGTGTGTGTGTGTGTGTGTGTGTGTGTGTGTGTGTGTGTGTGTGTGTGTGTGTGTGTGTGTGTGTGTGTGTGTGTGTGCATGTGTATACTCACCTATTTGTACTTACCTATTTGTGCTTGCGGGGGTTGAGCTTTGTCTCTTTGGTCCCGCCTCTCAACTGTCAATCAACTGGTGTGCAGACTTCTGAGCCTACTGGGCTCTATCATATCTACATTTGAAACTGTGTATGGAGTCAGCCTCCACCACATCACTTCCTAGTGCATTCCATTTACTAACTACTCTGACACCGAAAAAATTCTTTCTAATGTCTCTGTGGCTCATTTGGTTCCTAAGTTTCCACCTGTGTCCCCTTGTTCGTGTTCCACCCGTGCTGAAAAGTTTGTCTTTGTCCACCATGTCAATTCCCCTGAGAATTTTGTAGGTGCTTATCATTTCTTCCCTTACTCTTCTGTTTTCCAGGGACGTGAGGTTCAGCTCCTTCAGCCTTTCTTCGTAGCTCATACCTCTCAGTTCCGGGACGAGCCTGGTGGCATACCGCTGAATCTTCTCTAACTTTGTCTTGTGTTAAACTAGATATGGACTCCAGACAGGAGCTACATATTCCAGGATTAGTCTGACATAAGTGGTATACAGGGTCCTGAACGATTCCTTACACAAGTTTCTAAAGGGAGTTCTTATGTTGTCCAACCTAGCCTATGCCGCTGAAGATGTCCTTTTGATGTGTGCCTCTGGGGACAGGATCGGTGTGATATCGACCCCCAGATCTTTTCCTCTATCAACTGATCAAATCTCTTGCAGGATTTCACCTCCCAGATGGTACCTTGCGTTCAGCCTTCTGCTTCCTTCGCCTAATTTCTTTACTTTACATTTTCCATTACATTACAGTTGAACTTTATCAGCCATTTTCTAGACCAGTCCTCCAGCCTGTCCAGGTCATCCTGTTCTCTCTGTCTATCATCATCTGTCTTGATTCTTCTCATAATTTTTGCATCATCAGTAAACATTGAGAGGAATGAGTCTATACCCTCTGGAAGGTCGTTTACATATATTAGAAACAGGATGGGTCCGAGTACAGAGCCCTGTGGGACTCCGCTGGTGACATCAGTTACTCTGCTGTCTCTCCTCTAACATTTACTCGCTGTTTCCTGTTGCTTAGGTACTCCCTTATGCACTGGAGCACCTTCCCTTTTACTCCTGCCTGTTGCTCCAACTTTTTTAACAGCCTTTTATGGGGTACTGTGTCAAAGGCTTTCTGGCAGTCCAGGAAAATGCAGTCTGCCCACCCTTCTCTTTCCTGCATAGTTTTTGTTGCCTGGTCATATAATTCTATTAAACCTGTGAGGCACGATTTACCATCTCTGAACCCATGTTGGTGGTGTGTCACAAAACTTTTTCCCTGGAGATGCTCTACGAGCCTTTTCCTCACGATCTTCTCCATCACCTTGCACGGTATACAAGTTAGGGAAACTGGCCTGTAGTTCAGTGTCTCTTGCCTGTCACCCTTTCTGTATATTGGGACTACATTACCCGTCTTCCAACTTTCCGGTAGGTCTCCCGTTTTCAGTGACCTGTGTGTGTGTGTGTGTGTGTGTGTGTGTGTGTGTGTGTGTGTGTACTCACCTAATTGTACTCACCTAATTGTGCTTGCGGGGGTTGAGCTCTGGCTCTTTGGTCCCGCCTCTCAACCGTCAATCAACTGGTGTACAGATTCCTGAGCCTATTGGGCTCTATCATATCTACATTTGAAACTGTGTATGGAGTCAGCCTCCACCACATCACTTCCTAATGCATTCCATTTACTAACTACTCTGACACTGAAAAAGTTCTTTCTAACGTCTCTGTGGCTCATTTGGGTACTCAGCTTCCACCTGTGTCCCCTTGTTCGCGTCCCACCAGTGTTGAATAGTTCATCCTTGTTTACCCGGTCGATTCCCCTGAGGATTTTGTAGGTTGTGATCATGTCCCCCCTTACTCTTCTGTCTTCCAGTGTCGTAAGGTGCATTTCCCGCAGCCTTTCCTCATAACTCATGCCTCTTAGTTCTGGGACTAGTCAAGTAGCATACCTTTGGACTTTTTCCAGCTTCGTCTTGTGCTTGACAAGGTACGGGCTCCATGCTGGGGCCGCATACTCCAGGATTGGTCTTACATATGTGGTGTACAAGATTGTGTGTGTGTGTGTGTGTGTGTGTGTGTGTGTGTGTGTGTGTGTGTGTGTGTGTGTGTGTGTGTGTGTGTGTGTGTGTGTGTGTGTGTGTGTGTGTGTGTGTGTGTGTGTGTGTGTGCGTGTGTGTGCGTGTGTACATGGACATATTGAAGGTCGAAGATGACCATGACTTCAATAGGGTAAGGTAAATATGAGGAGAAATTGCTCTGCAATTTCTGTATAGTAAGTACTATATAGTACTTGAAAGGGATATATTAAGAGGCTAGGAGCTGGGATATAGGACAGGCTATATGACCTGGGATATGACAGTAGACTAGGATCTGGGATATGAGCACAGACTATAGAAGTTCGGATATGACAGATGACTAGGAGTTGGGATATGAGGCAACCAGTTCTCGCACTTGCATATAGTCAATATTGGCTTATTTAATAAGTGCATATGTGACATACTAATAGATTGTGAATATTTTAGTTTACCTTGAAAAGCTTCATAGAAAACACCGACCTCACCTAACCTTCTTAGTACGTTAAGATAAGCATCTTATTGCTTTTTATTTACAATTATTACTTAACCTATCCGATGAGAGGCCCCTGACCTCTATGTGTCTCCCGGTGACATTGATGAGAGGCCCCTGACCTCTATGTGTCTCCCGGTGACATTGATGAGAGGGCCCCTGACCTGTATGTGTCTCCCGGTGACATTGATGAGAGGGCCCCTGACCTGTATGTGTCTCCCGGTGATATTGATGAGAGGGCCCCTGACCTCTATGTGTCTCCCGGTGACATTGATGAGAGGGCCCCTGACCTGTATGTGTCTCCCGGTGACATTGATGAGAGGGCCCCTGACCTCTATGTGTCTCCCGGTGACATTGATGAGAGGGCCCCTGACCTGTATGTGTCTCCCGGTGATATTGATGAGAGGGCCCCTGACCTCTATGTGTCTCCCGGTGACATTGATGAGAGGGCCCCTGACCTCTATGTGTCTCCCGGTGACATTGATGAGAGGCCCCTGACCTCTATGTGTCTCCCGGTGACATTGATGAGAGGCCCCCTGACCTCTATGTGTCTCCCGGTGACATTGATGAGAGGCCCCTGACCTCTATGTGTCTCCCGGTGACATTGATGAGAGGGCCCCTGACCTCTATGTGTCTCCCGGTGACATTGATGAGAGGGCCCCTGACCTCTATGTGTCTCCCGGTGACATTGATGAGAGGGCCCCTGACCTCTATGTGTCTCCCGGTGACATTGATGTGAGGGCCCCTGACCTCTATGTGTCTCCCGGTGACATTGATGTGAGGGCCCCTGACCTCTATGTGTCTCCCGGTGACATTGATGAGAGGGCCCCTGACCTCTATGTGTCTCCCGGTGACATTGATGAGAGGGCCCCTGACCTCTATGTGTCTCCCGGTGACATTGATGAGAGGGCCCCTGACCTCTATGTGTCTCCCGGTGACATTGATGATAGGTCACTGACCTGTACGCGTCCTCGGAGACATTGATGCGGCCTTTCTCCCCCGTGGTCTCTGTCCTGGAGGTGATGTTGACGGTGTTGCCGAAGAGACAGTATCTGGGCATCCGCTGTCCAATGACGCCCGTCACCACCTCCCCGGAGTGGATCCCGATGGTGATGTGCTGTGGACAGGGAGGGTGTAGGCTACAGCAGGGTGGGATAGGCTGGGTGTAGGCTACAGCAGGGTGGGATAGGCTGGGTGTAGGCTACAGCAGGGTGGGATAGGCTGGGTGTAGGCTACAGCAGGGTGGGATAGGCTGGGTGTAGGCTACAGCAGGGTGGGATAGGCTGGGTGTAGGCTACAGCAGGGTGGGATAGGCTGGGTGTAGGCTACAGCAGGGTGGGATAGGCTGGGTGTAGGCTACAGCAGGGTGGGATAGGCTGGGTGTAGGCTACAGCAGGGTGGGATAGGCTGGGTGTAGGCTACAGCAGGGTGGGATAGGCTGGGTGTAGGCTACAGCAGGGTGGGATAGGCTGGGTGTTGAGGGTACAAGAAGGGTGTGCCTGGTGTGTAGAGGTGACAAGGTGTAATAGGGATGATGTGGTACTTGATTAGTTACACTTAATTCAATATTCATTCTGTTGGGCTGCTGAATGAGTTCCTCAACTTATATTTTAAAGTTAGGTTATTTTACGGCTTTACACCTGTTTAATCCAGTCACGATTATAACAATTTATTCAAACTGTTTTGAACTGATTTTTAGTTTCTGATTCAGGGGTGCAAGGTTCGTTATATAGATTAGTTTGGGGTTAAACAGCGAAGTGATACTAAAGAAAACGTAGAGTTTGAAAAAGGATTTTATGGGTAACTTCTATAAGCTTGACATATTACACTTATCCATATCTTGTTCCTCTTTGCCTATCTAATACGCCATCACTTTCTCTGTCACTTTCAGGTGGCATCATCTTCACGGTCAACAAGCAGCAACGTAGGACAGACAACAGGAGATCATTTTCACCCATGAACCTTAGAAATTGCACTCCAGTCGTATAAATATTTGGTCTGTGCTCTAGATCAAAATTTTACTGAAAATTCAAACAAATGATTTTATTCAGCCATCCACGGACAGGATAGACCTCTGTGCCACAACATATTGGGACCTCGTAGTACAACAGGCTTCGTTCTCGACTCCCACTCAGGGTTCTAAGATTTGATTCCCTTGGCGGAACAGAAATGGTCGGGCAAAATAAATTATTATTGATATTATTATTTGTCACAGTGAGTTAAGGTCTCAACCCTCCAGAAAGTGCTCGAATATCGGCCAAAAAATCGGAACGTTTGTTAATCTGCCAGTTCAAGTTCAAGTAGGTTTATTAAGACAAGAAAAAAATACATCTCAAAGGGATAGCGTAGCTTAGGCTGTTTCTACCCCCCCCCCCACCCCATCTGCCAGTTTGCTGACCCCCGTTGAAATTGAATTGAAATTGAAATTGAAATAAGTTTATTGAGGTAAAATACACACAAAGGGATGAGGTAGCTCAAGCTATTCTCACCCCGTTCAGTACAACGTGTTAGTACATACATAGACACACATCACAAACAATGTGATGTGTGTCTATGTATGTTACTGTTACAATAAACCTGTTACCAAACATTCTGAGAGATAAACATGTACATTTCCTCCTTCACAAGTGGTATGGTATCAGACGTACACAAATACTTTTATGAGGCCACCAGAGATGATAGCAAGGTAAATCCTTGCTATCATCTCTAGTGGCATATCTCCATATGTCACTATACAACTATATGATTAATATCATATCTCCACCCTCCATCCCCCCCCCACACTGTTTCCCTCAACCCCTTCCTCTTCCTCCTGTGGTACTGGTTGATGGTTGTAAAGTGGCTATAAAGCCAGGCTATAAAGCCAGAATATAAAGCCAGGATATAAGGCAAGGATATAAAGGTTGGATATAAAGTCAGAATATAGAGTCAGGTTATAAAACCAGACAATACAGCTAGAATATAAAGTCAGGATATAAAGCCAGGCTATAAAGCTAGACTATAGGGACAGAATATAAAGCCAGGATATAAAGCCAGGCTATAAAGCTAGACTATAGGGACAGAATATAAAGCCAGGATATAAAGCCAGGATGTAAAGCCAGTCTATAAAGTCAGACTATAAAGTCAGGACATAAAGCCAGGATATAAAGCCAGGCTATAAAATCAGTTTATACAGTCATATTATTAAGCCAGGATATAAAGCCAGACTATAAAGCCAGGATATAAAACCAGGATATAAAGCCAGGATATAAAGGTAGGATATAAAGCCAGGATATAAAGGTAGGATATAAAGCCTCCCCTACAAGTACTCACCAGCCGCTGGCCGTCGACAATGACCCCGGCAGCCTTGTCCATCATATCCAGTGCCAGGTTGGCGATGCAGCGAGCATGGTGGTGGCACGGCTCCGGCAGCCCGCTTACTGCCATGTACTTGTCCCCAACCGTCTCCACCTGCGGGGCACGAGAGATGTACTTCAGGTGTACCTGGTGTACACTGGTTGTGGTGTTCTGCTACCTGGTGTACACTGACGGTGGTGTTCTGCTACCTGGTGTACACTGACGGCGGGGTTCTGCTACCTGGTGTACACTGACGGCGGGGTTCTGCTACCTGGTGTACACTGACGGTGTGTTCTGCTACCTGGTGTACACTGGTTGTGGTGTTCTGCTACCTGGTGTACACTGACGGTGTGTTCTGCTACCTGGTGTACACTGACGGTGGTGTTCTGCTACCTGGTGTACACTGTCGGGGTGTTCTGCTACCTGGTGTACACTGACGGTGGTGTTCTGCTATCTGGTGTACACTGACGGGGGTGTTCTGCTACCTGGTGTACACTGACGGTGGTGTTCTGCTACCTGGTGTACACTGACGGTGTGTTCTGCTACCTGGTGTACACTGACGGGGTGTTCTGCTATCTGGTGTACACTGACGGGGGTGTTCTGCTATCTGGTGTACACTGACGGTGTGTTCTGCTACCTGGTGCACACTGACGGTGGTGTTCTGCTACCTGGTGTACACTGACGGTGTGTTCTGCTACCTGGTGTACACTGACGGTGTGTTCTGCTACCTGGTGTACACTGACGGTGGTGTTCTGCTATCTGGTGTACACTGACGGGGTGTTCTGCTACCTGGTGTACACTGACTGTGGTGTTCTGCTACCTGGTGTACACTGACGGTGTGTTCTGCTACCTGGTGTACACTGACGGTGGTGTTCTGCTACCTGGTGTACACTGACGGTGTGTTCTGCTACCTGGTGTACACTGACGGGGGTGTTCTGCTATCTGGTGTACACTGACGGGGTGTTCTGCTACCTGGAGTACACTGACGGTGTGTTCTGCTACCTGGTGTACACTGGTTGTGGTGTTCTGCTACCTGGTGTACACTGACGGTGGTGTTCTGCTACCTGGTGTACACTGACGGTGGTGTTCTGCTGTCTGGTGTACACTGACGGGGGTGTTCTGCTATCTGGTGTACACTGATGGTGGTGTTCTGCTACCTGGTGTACACTGACGGGGTGTTCTGCTACCTGGTGTACACTGACGGTGGTGTTCTGCTATCTGGTGTACACTGACGGGGGTGTTCTGCTATCTGGTGTACACTGATGGTGGTGTTCTGCTACCTGGTGTACACTGACGGGGTGTTCTGCTACCTGGTGTACACTGACTGTGGTGTTCTGCTATCTGGTGTACACTGACGGGGGTGTTCTGCTACCTGGTGTACACTGACGGTGGTGTTCTGCTACCTGGTGTACAGTGACGGTGGTGTTCTGCTATCTGGTGTACACTGACGGGGGTGTTCTGCTATCTGGTGTACACTGATGGTGGTGTTCTGCTACCTGGTGTACACTGACGGGGTGTTCTGCTACCTGGTGTACACTGACGGTGGTGTTCTGCTACCTGGTGTACACTGACGGGGTGTTCTGCTACCTGGTGTACACTGACGGTGGTGTTCTGCTACCTGGTGTACACTGACGGTGTGTTCTGCTACCTGGTGTACACTGACGGTGTGTTCTGCCAGCTGGTGTACACTGACGGGGGTGTTCTGCTACCTGGTGTACACTGACGGTGGTGTTCTGCTACCTGGTGTACACTGACGGGGGTGTTCTGCTACCTGGTGTACACTGATGGGGGTGTTCTGCTACCTGGTGTACACTGACGGGGTGTTCTGCTACCTGGTGTACACTGACGGTGGTGTTCTGCTACCTGGTGTACACTGACGGTGTGTTCTGCTACCTGGTGTACAATGATGGGGGTGTTCTGCTACCTGGTGTACACTGACGGTGGTGTTCTGCTACCTGGTGTACACTGACGGTGTGTTCTGCTACCTGGTATACACTGACGGCGGGGTTCTGCTACCTGGTGTACACTGATGGTGTGTTCTGCTACCTGGTGTACACTGACGGGGTGTTCTGCTATCTGGTGTACACTGACGGGGGTGTTCTGCTACCTGGTGTACACTGACGGTGGTGTTCTGCTACCTGGTGTACACTGACGGTGGTGTTCTGCTATCTGGTGTACACTGACGGGGGTGTTCTTCTATCTGGTGTACACTGATGGTGGTGTTCTGCTACCTGGTGTACACTGACGGTGGTGTTCTGCTACTTGCTGTACACTAACGGTGGTGTTCTGCTACCTGGTGTACACTGACGGTGTGTTCTGCTACCTGGTGTACACTGACGGTGTGTTCTGCTACCTGGTGTACACTGACGGTGGTGTTCTGCTACCTGGTGTACACTGACGGTGGTGTTCTGCTACCTGGTGTACACTGACGATGGTGTTATGTTACCTGATGTACACTGACGGTGGTGTTCTGCTACCTGGTGTACACTGATGGGGGTATTCTGCTACCTGGTGTACACTGACGGTGGTGTTCTGCTACCTGGTGTACACTGACGGTGGTGTTCTGCTACCTGGTGTACACTGACGGTGTGTTCTGCTACCTGGTGTTCACTGACGGTGGTGTTCTGTTACCTGGTGTACACTGACGGTGGTGTTCTGCTACCTGGTGTACACTGACGGTGGTGTTCTGCTACCTGGTGTACACTGACGATGGTGTTATGTTACCTGATGTACACTGACGGTGGTGTTCTGCAACCTGGTGTACACTGATGGGGGTATTCTGCTACCTGGTGTACACTGACGGTGGTGTTCTGCTACCTGGTGTACACTGACGGTGGTGTTGTGCTACCTGGTGTACACTGACGGTGGTGTTGTGCTACCTGGTGTACACTGACGGTGGTGTTGTGCTACCTGGTGTACACTGACGGTGGTGTTCTGTTACCTGGTGTACACTGACGGTGGTGTTCTGCTACTTGGTGTACATTGACGGTGGTGTTCTGCTACCTGGTGTACACTGACGATGGTGTTATGTTACCTGTGTACACTGAATTATAAGACCAGATATTTGTACCACTTTGTACCACTAGTTTAACACCAGCTTGCAATCACAACTTTGACCCAAAAGTGTACTAAACAATACCCTGCTAAGTGTATTCATATCAATGGGGACGATCTCCTGCAATGCCTTAATATTAAACACTTCACCACTTTCCCACTACTGAACCCCCGGGGGAAGAAATGGTCCCAAAACTTTAAAATTTATTGACGGGAGTAATCAATGGAAGAGGAAGGGAACTATCAGGACTGAGCGCCAAGGCATTTACACTATATTGCACTTGGAAAGGGATTAGGATTTAGGATGGGGTGGGGAGAAGGAATAATGCCAAACCACTTTGACAGTGGAAAACTCTTTAATTTACTTACTCAAGACAAAGGGACATGTATAATCCAATGGGTGCATGCAGGATCACAGGAAAAATTTCCAACAGCATATAATGCTCTCAGGGACTCAGAATTAGCATTGAGGGAATTTTAGCTCGACACAGGAAACTAGTTAATTGAAAACTTTATTAATCACTTGAGATGAAAATATATCTTAGATAAATAATTCCATACTTAGAGTGCATTGTTGTGGAAATATCCTGACACATGCATGAGAACAAGGTGACACATTACCGTGCTTACTGCTATCCAACCAAGATGTTGATGGCTTTTTTCCGATCCTGGAGATCCGTCCCTAAAACAAACCCCAGTCTACACTGTCTCTACAAATCTTCTCCCTGCTCTCAGGAAGGCCGCCCCGAAGGCTCTGTGCCCTGATCCTGTGGCCAATGGCTACCAGGCCCTTAAGGGCTTTTTTTTAGGGGGGGGAGTAGTGAGGATGGAGAGGCACTGGTCTAGAAGTTTAGAAGTGGGAAATACAGTGAGAGTTATGAACGCAGGCGGGCTGTCCGCCTTGCTGACACGATTTGTGGGTGTTGGCAGCTAAGCTAAGCTTGCTCTCTCTTGTCAGGGTACTGTGAGTGTGTGTGTGTGTGAGAGGTTCTTCACATATATTTCACTACATATGCTTGTCTATAGATGAATACTGTGTAGCATTCATATATACACACTCCGATGCTTCCACACATGTTGTTCTGTTTAAGGCTCTTTATTTTATTATGATTATTATTTATTGATTTATATATACATATATATATTTACATATATACCCATTTTTTCCAATTATTGGGGGAGGGATTTCTGGTCAGTATTTCATCTGGGAATTATGTACTGTTGGGCTGGGTAATCATCTTGAAAATCGCGGCTCTTGGGCCACCAGCTATGGGAGCGGGGCGTCTCATCTTGGAGTAATCTTCCTAACATTGGGTCCTCTAACATTTCGATGGTGTTCCACACCCTGATGGCTTGGTGCTGCAGTCTGATGTTTAGTGGCTGTGTGTTCAGGAGTTCATGGAGCTCCTGGGTTGTCTGATCAGGTGGTGGACGGTGTTTTGCTGCTCTCCTTAGCGCCTTATTTGGCACTGCTTGTTGTTTCTGCATGTTAGTTTTCTTTATGGTGTGTAGTCTAGCTGTGAAGCCAGAATCCTATATATGACAAGCTATATCAGAGAAAACACTATACAGTACATAGAACATGAAGACCTGGCTTAATTACCTTTAGTTTGAGGCGATTTCGCGATCTAACCGGGTCACCCTATATCCTGACATTAATGGCCATAAATGAATGATAAACGGGTTTCGGATAGACTTAACTTGAATTGTAGACATCGTGTTGGAGATGGTACCTTTGGTTTCCATAACACTACGTCCAAGTAAAATTAACAGGAGCCGAATTTGCTCCCGTGTGAGCCTCTGGTCTCAATATAAACTATGGCTGTTTAACACTCCATTCTATTGACGTTACTGGCCGACATTGTCCAGAATGATAGGAGCCGTTTGCTCCACACGTCTCGGAGGTGACACAACAATGGCTGCCCTCCTTCCTCACTCTGACGCCTGGCCTACTTTGTCCAGATTTCAGAACGTGATAGAAGGGTCACATTTACTCTACTTTAATATTGATAATTAAGTTAATTTATATAAGATGTTTTTATGATGGTAAAGTCCAAAGA